AATTCTAATTGACTTACTGTACAAACAAAAAGTCTTTCAAAAATAGATGTTCACAAAAGAAGAAAACAGCACAAATTCTTCCAAGTTAAGTATGATATTTTGTTCTTGATGATTTTAAAGAGATGAAGCAACTTTCTACTGATAAAAACTATGTATTTTACACACACGCCAGACGAGAGGCCAGCCAGCCGGTCTGCTGGATCACAGACAAGAAATAGAAAGACCGAATAGACAAAAGGTAAGACATGCCAGGGATTTTTGGTTGTTGTTTGTTTTAAAGAACTCTGCAGAGGATCTGGAAAATCCGTCTTACTTCTGCACCAGACATGTTCAGAAAACTGAAAATGACAAATTGAACGAACTGGCAGGCAGGGGGAAGAAGTCATGATTTATAGACCTCTTAGGAAAGGCTAGGTGCTTTTAGAGACTCAGCAAGCACACAGATAGGGCCATCTCACTAATGACGATGTCTCTAGATAGCCAAAACCTTTGGTGTGGTATCAGACCAAAGGCCTTAAAAATTAAGATGTCCCAGGATAAAACTAAAGCTTCTCTAAAATTAATAGCTGGCTAGAAGAGGGGAAACCACACAGGAATGCATAGCTAGGTTTCACAACAGAGTGCTGATACCAGTGGAATGACACACCTCGTGTACATACAAGATTACTCACTCTAACAAATAAAAAGACTGAAAAACTGCAGACTGCAATACCAGGAAGGGTCTAACTAGGGCAAGCGCGGTGTATGTGTCCCTGTAGCCTTTCCTTAAGCATCATCTCTTGGTCACCGGTAGAAAAAGGATTGGCGCAATACCAGCTTTTAGCCTGAGCAGTTGGGTTTATAATCCTATAACCAAAACATTTTTTCACTAGACGCCGACTTCTCCTTACCCCTTTTGCAATCTTTTCACATACGATGGGTAGGCTACCGAGGCTTTCTACACGCCCAGCCTCCGGGCTGACAGTGAGCCTCCTAACATTTACTGTCGCACGGGCAGCGAAGAATCCACTTCCATCTGCCAAGAATCTCTGCCCCAGAATCTCTGCCTTCAGGCTAGGCTGCCCCATCTCCCCAGAGCAGAGGAAATCTGTGCCCACAAGCATTCCCTCTGCTCCCCGTTGCACCTGTACGGCTGGAGTTTGCCCACGATCGGCAGTTCCTTCATTTCATATTGTTCACCAAATTAAAGATGACATGTTTTGACACCAAAAGGAAAGGGTTTCCAAACACATCTTATTTGATTACATCTACAGTCCATCACGCTGTCAATATCTTCCTTCTCAACTACAAAAAAGACCCTTTCCCATGTAAACAGCTCCTGAGTAGTACAGACGACTTAATGGCAAACAGCGTGGAACTGGGTAAGACCAAAAGGGATTGTGAGTCTGATGCAAAAAGCTAGTGTGGCAATTATTCTTCCCCCCCCCACCCACCCCATCCAGTGGTACATATTGATGCATCTGCTGGTTGCCAGAAACTGGAAAACTTAATGTGAAAAAACACGTGATGCATTGAGTTACAAGTCACATTGCTATCGGTAGATTATTTCCCACATTTTCTGGGATAACTCATCAGTGTGACACACAGGCTGTATGTGGGCACTCTTGTGGAGAAGACCAAGAGTTGGTCCTGCGTGACGTGGAGGACTGCCATTACCCAGTTTGTAGCTTGTGAGACTCTTACAGGCAAGGGGGTCTCAACGTGGGTTCAGATGTACGCTGCAAAAATCACATCGTCCCCCTCACCTCACACCTCTCCTTCCTGATGCTTCAATAAACGTCCAGCAGCTTCTCCTGCTCCTCCTCTGGCCTAGGGAGGGTGGCCTCACTGGTGGCTTTCCTTATTCCTCTCTCCCAAAGCAATCTTAACATTTATTACAAATGCACGGTGTCCCACAATGACATTTAAGGGGATTTCAGGATGGTGCAGATGAATAGACACTTTGGGGGGAGGGACGCACTAGCTGTGCCCATTCTGTATCCTATTCAGTAAAGTAGCAGAGCTAAAACACCCTTTTAGCAAATTGCTCCCACAATCACTCCAGCAAACATTGGGCTTGCGATGTTCAAAGAAGATACCAACAAAGCCAACGAACCCGTAAAAATGAGGGAACAGTTTACAAAGCCCTTGAGGACTTTATAGAGACATATTCCTCTATAAGGCCCTATTTTCTGTCTTCTGCTCTGTTTTCAAAGTGAACCAATGTTACTGGAAGGTCGTTATAGAGCTCTAGCAAATGAGCCTCATCTAGGACCTTCCCAGGGTGGGGAGCCATTTCTGCAGAGTTTATCTGGACCCTGCACATTGATACACATGCAGAAGACCCAGGCAGCAAAGTGGCAGTACACAGCTGAAGAGGTGAGCCCACAGCAAGACCCACAAGTGGGCTACCTAAGAAGCTATAAAGTGGCGTGGCAATCTTTCTGTAAGAGAGTGCAAGAAACAGCACGAATAGATTCCAGCACGAAGGGATTCCAGCACTAAAGATAAAGAAGAAAGAGGGATTCTGCTCCTCCTGGATCAGACAGATCACTCCTGATTTGAAAAACAATGACTACCAACCGCTTCCATCGGAGGAGAGCTCCACGCTGCCTGTTGCGGCGTAGAGATAAACTTGCCTTCGCCACCAAACACTGGGGTTGGGATGGAGAGGGGAGGGGAAGGAAATGCACACGTGGGCCACGAGCGCCACTTCATAAGCATCAACTGTGGGAGGTGGTGAAACAGATTTCCTAACACCAGAGACACTCCCTTCTGGAGGACCAAGAGCATTGATGGGATCCAACCTTCCTCTTGCCAAGCATTCCAAGAAAAAAAGGTTAGGCAGGTATCCCCAAGACTGATCCTGATAAAACTGTCCTACAAGGGAATGATAATTCCAGTGGTTTTCTTTGTCGGTCAGAGAAGAGGAACTTCGCTCATTCTCGAAGGAATGAGATTATCATAAAGCAGGCAAAAGCACACAGAACACGAAAGTAACAGCCGTGGACGCCACATACACTCTTCAGGAGCACCGCATCTCAAAATCTCTGATCCCACATGAGAATGCTTGTTATGAGCTGGATGATCACTGGCGCACAAAGGAAAAAAAAGCCAGAATATTAACACGTAATTCCTAACCTGCCCCTCTTACACTGAGAGACAGTCTCGAAAGAAGCTGATACACTGAAACGTGGCAACTACTAGTGCGACAGTACTGATGCACGCTGCTCCTTCAGCACTAATGCTTAGAGGTGCTGTGGCTAATGGGCAGCGCGCATCAGTACTGCATGAGGTTAAAAGTTCTCAGGTTGAAAATCTGTGTTGTGACTCACTGGGAAGTTTGTTGCTAAAAGGGGAGCATTTTCAGGGGCAGTACAAGGAATATAAATAAATCCGCATGCAACAGTAAAATTAGGAAGCCTTTCCATCAGTCAAATTGTCTGTACTCCCTCCTTGGAAGCCTACGGAAATTCAGAAGTATAGAAGGAAGATTTTAATATACAGCTGGTTTCGACTGCTCAGAAACACGATACCAACAGGTATTGAAATCCCCATCCCCCCCAAAAACCACAGGGAGTCTTGAACTCGGCATGCAAGTAGCTCAGCAAGGCTGATGGAGTGGCCGTGGCACTCCAGCGCTTCCTACAGCGTACTGGCTCCTCGCTAAGCACAAAGATGCACTTCAAGGTCACGGTGTTCATCCTGAAAGTTCTCAGTGGGTCGGACCCGGGTTACTGGATACCTCCTCTCCTGGTATGCAGGGAAAGCACAAGGACCACAGTCACATTCGCCAAGGCAAACTCGTGCGCCGCGAGCAAGAGAAAGACACAATGGCAGGAGACTCCAAGATACAAAGCTGCGGGAGACACGGCGACGCACACAGGAGTGACATCTCCCACCCTTACAGATGGCAGCGAGGGGGACCTCTCCCCCGAGCGCCTCAAACCCGAGCGCCGAAGGGTCGCCCCAAAATAGCGCGATGGAAGCGCTCCCTTCTCCAAAAGATCTTCAAGGGCCGGGCTGGGTGTTCAGCGTTGGGTTAGGCGGGCGCACGGTGACACCGGGCGGGACGCTTTGCTTGTTCCCTCACCCCGGGATCACCCGCACCCCGGGATCACCCCCACCTTCACCCCGGGATCACCCGCACCCGGGGATCACCCCCACCCTCACCCCGGGATCACCCGCACCCGGGGATCACCCGCACCCCGGGATCACCCTCACCCCGGGACCACCCGCACCCTCACCCCGGGGATCACCCCCACCCTCCGCAGGTTCGCCCCACAGGTCCTGGGCACAAGGCCCCCCACCCCGCCACCGACGGGCGACGGAGCCTCCCGGAAACCCCCCGCCGGGGCCGTTCCCTCCTCGGCGGGGCCGTTCCCGGTGCCAGGAGGGGGGGCCGGGGCACCCCCCGGGGCTGCGGCCTCCCCCGCCGCCCCACACGACGCTGCCTCCGCCCGCGCCCATGCGAGGCCACCGCCCGCCCTCCCCCGCCCGCCGAGCCCCGCGGCCAGCCCGGGGGGGAGAGGCGGCGGGGACACGGGAACGCGGGGACACGGGAACGCGGGGACACGGGGACGCGGGGACGGGGCCGCGGAGCCGCCGCCCCGGGGCTCTCCCCCCGCTCTGCCCCCCCCTCACCTCGGGCCGCCCCGCCTCCCCCCGCCGAAGAGGTGGCCGCGTCCGCCCCTGCACTGCAGCTGCCCGGCACGCCGCTCCCCCCCACCCCACCCCCCCACCGCCCCTCTTCGGCAGATGGTTCGCCCCACCCCGGCCCGCCTTCTCATTGGCGGCGCCCGCCCGTCGCTCCGCCGCGGGGCCCGCCCAGCCCCGCGGGGCATGCTGGGAATTCGAGTCCCTCCGCGCCGGCAGCTTTCGCCTCCCGCCGCCGGTACCGGGCGGCGGGGCGAACTACAGCTCCCACAGTGCCCCGCGCGCAGCCCGGGAGCGGCCCGGCCCGGTGCGGCCCGCCACCCCCCAACACCCCCCCACCGCCCCGCCGCCCCCTCCCCCGCCGATGACCGCAATGGCCGCCGCGGCCCGGCCCGGCTCACCTGGCCCCGCCGGTACCGGCGCCTCCCGCTGCAGCCGCCGCGGGCAGCGCATACCCCCCGCGCCCCTCAGCGCGGCTGGCCGGGCTGGGTGCCGCCGGCCCGGCGCGCTGCGGTTGCGGCTGCGGGGCGGGCCTGCCCCCGGTGCATCCTCCCCCCTCGGAGCCGCGGCGGGCGGCGGGATTCGCCCACAATGCACCGCGCGCCGCACCGACAGCATCAGCCTGACATCACCCGCAGGCCGGCCCCCCGGCCCGGCCGGGCCCGCCCCGCGCCCGCCCCGCCGACACCGGCAACCGGCAACCGGCGTGGGGCCGGGAGCTGCACCGGCACCGGGCACAGCGCCGGCACCGCCATCGGGCACCGCACCAGCACCGGCACCGGGCACTGAACCGGCACCGGGCACTGCACCAGGCACAGCACCGCCACCGGAACCGGGTACTGCACTGGCACCGCACTGGGCACCAGCACCGGGCACTGGCACCGCACTGGGCACTGGCACCGGGCACCAGCACCGGGCACTGGCACCGCACTGGGCACCGGCACCGGGCACTGGCACCGCACTGGGCACCGGGCACTGGCACTGGCAGTGGCACCGCACCAGCACCAGCACCGGTGACATGACGGCCGGGATGATGCCAGGACAGGGACTGGCGCACGGCTCGTCTCTGCACTGCTGGGATCAGCACTGGCATCACTGGCATGTGGCCCGGGGGCCGGGACCAGCACTGGCACTGTGTCTGCACAGGGCTGGGCGCTGCGCTTTGCCTGGGACCAGCACACCGGTACAGGGACTGGCTCGCCAGTACGGTCCCCCTGGGCCTGAGGCTGTCGCCAGCACCTTCAGCACAGAGCTGGGCACCGACGTGTGGGGGTGAAGGCTGGAGTCGGCACATCTGCCCGGGACTGGGCGCTGCGTGGCACTGGGACAGGTTGATATGTGGCGCTGGGGCTGGGCGCTGAGTGGCACTGGGGCTGGGCGCTGCGTGGCGCTGGGGCTGGGCTCTGAGTGGCACTGGGACTGGGCGCTGAGTGGCACTGGGCGCTGCATGGCACTCTGACTGGGCGCTGCGTGGCGCTGGGGCTGGGCGCTGCGTGGCACTGGGACAGGTTGATGTGTGGCGCTGGGGCTGGGCGCTGAGTGGCACTGGGGCTGGGCGCTGCGTGGCGCTGGGGCTGGGCTCTGAGTGGCACTGGGCGCTGCATGGCACTCTGACTGGGCGCTGCGTGGCGCTGGGGCTGGGCGCTGCGTGGCACTGGGACAGGTTGATGTGTGGCGCTGGGGCTGGGTGCTGAGTGGCGCTGGGGCTGGGCGCTGAGTGGCGCTGGGGCTGGGCGCTGCGTGGCGCTGGGGCTGGGCGCTGAGTGGCGCTGGGGCTGGGCGCTGAGTGGCACTGGGGCTGGGCGATGCGTGACACTGGGGCTGGGCACTACGTGGCACTGGGACTGGGCGCTGCGTGGCGCTGGGGCTGGGCGCTGAGTGGCACTGGGGCTGGGCGATGCGTGACACTGGGGCTGGGCACTACGTGGCACTGGGACTGGGCGCTGCGTGGCGCTGGGGCTGGGCGCTGAGTGGCGCTGGGGCTGGGCGCTGAGTGGCACTGGGACTGGGCGCTGCGTGGCGCTGGGGCTGGGCGCTGAGTGGCACTGGGGCTGGGCGCTGCGTGGCGCTGGGGCTGGGCGCTGTGTGGCACTGGGGCTGGGCGATGCGTGACACTGGGGCTGGGCACTACGTGGCACTGGGACTGGGCGCTGCGTGGCGCTGGGGCTGGGCGCTGAGTGGCACTGGGGCTGGGCGCTGCGTGGCACTGGGGCTGGGCTCTGAGTGGCACTGGGCGCTGCATGGCACTCTGACTGGGCGCTGCGTGGCGCTGGGGCTGGGCGCTGCGTGGCACTGGGACAGGTTGATGTGTGGCGCTGGGGCTGGGCGCTGAGTGGCGCTGGAGCTGGGCGCTGCGTGGCGCTGGGGCTGGGTGCTGAGTGGCACTGGGGCTGGGCACTGAGTGGCGCTGGGGCTGGGCGCTGCGTGGCGCTGGGGCTGGGCGCTGAGTGGCGCTGGGGCTGGGCGCTGAGTGGCACTGGGCGCTGCATGGCACTCTGACTGGGCGCTGCGTGGCGCTGGGGCTGGGCGCTGCGTGGCACTGGGACAGGTTGATGTGTGGCGCTGGGGCTGGGCGCTGAGTGGCACTGGGGCTGGGCGCTGCGTGGCGCTGGGGCTGGGCTCTGAGTGGCACTGGGCGCTGCATGGCACTCTGACTGGGCGCTGCGTGGCGCTGGGGCTGGGCGCTGCGTGGCACTGGGACAGGTTGATGTGTGGCGCTGGGGCTGGGTGCTGAGTGGCGCTGGGGCTGGGCGCTGAGTGGCGCTGGGGCTGGGCGCTGCGTGGCGCTGGGGCTGGGCGCTGAGTGGCGCTGGGGCTGGGCGCTGAGTGGCACTGGGGCTGGGCGATGCGTGACACTGGGGCTGGGCACTACGTGGCACTGGGACTGGGCGCTGCGTGGCGCTGGGGCTGGGCGCTGAGTGGCACTGGGGCTGGGCGCTGCGTGGCGCTGGGGCTGGGCGCTGAGTGGCACTGGGGCTGGGCGCTGCGTGGCGCTGGGGCTGGGCGCTGTGTGGCACTGGGGCTGGGCGATGCGTGACACTGGGGCTGGGCACTACGTGGCACTGGGACTGGGCGCTGCGTGGCGCTGGGGCTGGGCGCTGAGTGGCACTGGGGCTGGGCGCTGCGTGGCACTGGGGCTGGGCTCTGAGTGGCACTGGGCGCTGCATGGCACTCTGACTGGGCGCTGCGTGGCGCTGGGGCTGGGCGCTGCGTGGCACTGGGACAGGTTGATGTGTGGCGCTGGGGCTGGGCGCTGAGTGGCGCTGGAGCTGGGCGCTGCGTGGCGCTGGGGCTGGGTGCTGAGTGGCACTGGGGCTGGGCACTGAGTGGCGCTGGGGCTGGGCGCTGCGTGGCGCTGGGGCTGGGCACTACGTGGCACTGGGGCTGGGCGCTGAGTGGCGCTGGGGCTGGGCGCTGAGTGGCACTGGGGCTGGGCGCTGAGTGGCGCTGGGGCTGGGCGCTGAGTGGCACTGGGCGCTGCATGGCACTCTGACTGGGCGCTGCGTGGCGCTGGGGCTGGGCGCTGCGTGGCACTGGGGCTGGGCACTGTGTGGCGCTGGGGCTGGGCACTGTGTGGCACTGGGACTGGGCGCTGCGTGGCGCTGGGGCTGGGCACTGTGTGGCACTGGGGCTGGGCACTGTGTGGCGCTGGGGCTGGGCGCTGCGTGGTGCTGGGACTGGGCGCTGCGTGGCGCTGGGGCTGGGCGCTGCGTGGTGCTGGGGCTGGGCACTGCGTGGCGCTGGGGCTGGGCGCTGCGTGGCGCTGGGGCTGGGCGCTGCGTGGCGCTGGGGCTGGGCGCTGAGTGGCGCTGGGACTGGGCACTGTGTGGCACTGGGGCTGGGCGCTGAGTGGCGCTGGGACTGGGCACTGTGTGGCGCTGGGGCTGGGCGCTGCGTGGCGCTGGGGCTGGGCGCTGAGTGGCGCTGGGGCTGGGCACTGAGTGGCGCTGGGACTGGGCGCTGCGTGGCACTGGGGCTGGGCGCTGAGTGGCACTGGGGCTGGGCGCTGTGTGGCGCTGGGGCTGGGCGCTGCGTGGCACTGGGGCTGGGCGCTGAGTGGTGCTGGGTGCTGCGTGGCGCTGGGGCTGGGTGCTGAGTGGCACTGGGGCTGGGTGCTGAGTGATGCTGGGACTGGGCGCTGAGTGGCACTGGGGCTGGGCGAATTAGAACAGGGACTTGTCCAGACCAGTTTGGAAGTTCTCCAGGGATGGAGAGGCCACAGCCTCACTGGGTCTCTCCACCCTCTCCTGGGAAAGCAGTTTTCCACTTACGTTTCAACTTGTGTCTCTTGGACCTTAACTGAAGGGAGAAGGCAATACCGCCCGATGAGCTGGTGTGGAAGTCAAGCGAGAGCTGGAGGCTTCCCAGCTCCCTCAGGTGTTTCCACCTGTCCGTGAGTGGGCCCCTGCCACGTCTGGATGCTGAGCCCAGAGCATCAGTACCAAGCTGGAGGGGGAGGGAAGAATTTCGTGCTGAAGCCTTCGGGCTCCCCGCAGGGTGGGCAGCCCCGGGTGCTGCCCGAGAGGAAGCCAGCGCGATGGGGAGGTTCGTCATTCTGGAACAAAGCACTCAGTGAGAGCAGCGCAGGAGAGGAGCCAAACGGCAAGGGAAGTTCAGGGTTCGTGTCAGTACCCCCGGCCTGGGCTGCGTGCTGCACCTGGCACCGGGTCTCCAACAGCCTTAGCAGGAATTTGATATTGCACGTCTTGAAACATTCTTGGGGGAGAAAGGCATTTTTGTTCATAATTTCTCTTTTAACACTTTTAAGTGTTGTTTGTACAGCGTGCAGCAAACGCAAACCTTGCAGCCAATTTAAGGGAGATCCGTCCAATCTTGTGAGTTTAAATGTTTGTGAGACGGTGCTATGATATTAGAGATGTTTTTTAGTCATTTCGCATCTGTCTAAAAGCACTTCAGTTATCTGGATATTTCTAAGTATTGTTTTTCTCCCTTGTCACTTTCTGGGCGTTTATTACCCATTCACTAATGGAAGCGTAGCACATCTTTATTTTTCACACTGTTTAGACCTCCATTTCAGGTGTGGCTAGATGAGAGCAGACCTGGCAAAGATTCACAACCCCAATTAGCTTGAGTGCTCTGCTCCTTCAAACCTGCTGTAGTTCCTGGTGCTTTGGACCCAAGGTCCATGCTGATCTGTGCCGCTGAGTTAAAGTGGAACTTCAACGAATGCATTTTTGCTTTATTTCATCCCTGCTCTAAACTTCCCTCAGCCTTCTCCTCTGCCGATGGAGCTGAATGAGCCCACAAACCCACCGGAACAGCCAGCTGGGAACGTGTCCAGTTTCATCTGCAGGCCCAAATGTGGCCGAAAATGATCAAAAGACTTTATTAAAATCGGCGTTAATTGTGACTTGGGAAGACCTCTGTTGCAGACCAGTGTGTACATGGCTCTACAATGATGTTTTTGCCTGGCCCTGCCTTTCGCTGTGGGGCCAGGTATCGGCTGTGTGCACATCATGTGGGAGGATGGCTGGAGATTACAGTCAGGAGCAGAACCGTGACAACCAAGTGGCAGCCGTGTATTTCACCGGCTTTTTCCTCCCCCCCTTACGGGAAAAACAGGGGGACAGACAACTGGGAAACATAACTCATGCCAAATACCTGCTTTGACAGAAAGGGTAGAAAGGCAAAGCGAAGCGATCGGTGGGCGTGGGTGTGCATGCCCGCAGGGGAGCTGTGCCTGGGAGAGGGGCGCAAGCAGAAACCCCTCGATCCTCGGGCGCTGCCCAGGCTGTCACACCAGAGAATGCAAGAGGTGGTCTGGGGGGTAGGAGCTAAATGACCCCCTGGGGAGTTGCTGTGGCTAGGATTAGCC